TTCCCTGCCTTAGAAGTGATGTCCAGGCCGATTGGCAAAGACATCTGTTGAAGAGAGAGCACTCCCTTAGGCCAAACAGGATTTTGGCTTGTGGATCAGGAATTCGTGCGTTTCTTCTTTTGCTACAGCAGATGGACGTGTGGCAGCACTGGTCCTCCTGACAGCTACACCCCTTCTCTCTCTCTTTTTCTATTTTTTTTGTTTTTCCCTTTTTTTTTTAATGGAAACAGTTTATTCACTGCTTGTGTTGGGACCTAGATCTAAAAGTAATTGAGTATGCACTGCAGCGTAGTATTTTATATATATATATATATACACATGTGTGTATATATATATATATTCCCCTGGAAACATGCCTGATGTACAGCTAACAGTTGTGCTTTTGATACAAAAGGCTTTGTTAATTGAGTTATGAAATTGCTTCCTTGATGCTTTGTGCTGGAATCTATGGGGCTTATTATTCATAAGCGATGACTATCTTCAGAGAACTTTACTTGCAGCCCAATAATTCTCTTTTAAGTTATTTTACTGATTTAATGTAAACTTACTTGAAATGTGTAGTTTGCGCGCTGACTCACACATGATTTCCCTTGAATTCCCACCAGCAATATATTTTTGAGTGAAATATATTTGAGTCTTAAAAATGTCTAGAAAAAATATTCACTTAATTTTGATGGATGTTCACCACTGTTGAGTGAAAAACTGAGCCAGTACTTTGTAATCAGGGAGTGGCGTGGTATAAATGATCACTGTATCCTTAAGTAACTAATAATCCTGTAGTGACTGAATATTCATTTTCACTACATACAACTAGTATTATCATTCTCAGCAAGTTATATTCAGAGAATCATGGAATGGTGGGAGTTGGAAGGGACCTCAGGAGATCATCCAGTCCAAATTCCCTGCCAAAGCAGGTTCACCTCGAGCAGGTCACACAGGACAGCATCCAGGTGGGTTTGGAACATCTCCAGAGATGGAGACTCCACAGCCTCTCTGGGCAGCCTGTTCCAGTGCGCTGTCGCCTTCAAAGTAAAGAAGTTTTTCCTCATGTTCAGATGGAACTTCCTGTATTCCAGCTTGTGCCCATTTGCCCCTTGTCCTGTTGCTGGCCACCACTGAAAAGAGTCTGACCCCATCCTCTTGACACCTGCCCTTTAGGTATTCATTACCATTGATAAGATCCACTCTCAGCCTTCTCTTCTCCAGGGTAAACAGATCCAGATCTCACAGCCTTGGTGAATCCATGTTGAACATTCCTGATAAGCTTTTTTTCCTCCAGATACTTAGAGATGACACTCAGAATGAACTGTTCCATCACTTTTCCAGGGACTAACCTGTCCTTCTTGCCCTTTTTAAAGACTGGAGTGATGTTGGCTTTTCTCCAGTCCTCAGGCACCTCTCCTGTTCTGCATGATCTTTCAAAGATAATGGAGAGTGGCTTAGGCCCATGGGTTTGTGGTTGTCGACTTTGCCTAAATGATCTCTAACCCAGTCTTTCTCAATCAAGGGAAGGTCTTCCTTTCTCCAGACTTTCTATCTTACCTCCAGGGTCTGGGATTCCTGAGGACTGACTTTAGCAGTAAAGACTGAAGCAAAGAAGACATTCAGTAACTCTGCCTTCCCTGTATCCTCTGTCACCAGGGCACCCACCTCATTTAGCAGTTGGCCCATGTTTTCTCTACTCTTCCTTTTGCTACTCATGTACTTGAAGAAACCCTTCTTGTTGTCCTTGACATCCCTCACCAGATTTAATTCTAAGTGGGCTTTAGCCTTCCTCATTGTATCCCTGAATACTCTGACAATGTTCCTGTATTTTTTACAAGTGGCCAGTTCCTTTTTCCACATTCTGTAAGCTTCCTTCTTACATTTGAATTTTTCCAGAAGCTCCTGGCTCAACCATACAGGTCTCCTGCTTCCTTTGCTTACTCATAGGGATGCACTGATATTGAGCATGGAGGAAGTGGTGCTTAACCAGCTCTCTTGGATCTCCCTAGCTTCTAGAGCCCTATCCCGTGGGATTCCTTCAAGTACTCTTTGAAGAGGCTGAAGTTAGCTTTCCTGAAGTCCAGGGTTGTAGTCATACTTACTGCCCTGCTTCTTCCACTCAGGATCCTGAACTTCACCATCTCATGGTCACTGCAGCAAAGGCTGCTCCCAACTTTCATATCCCCAACCAGTCCTTCTTTATTCACCTCTTTGATGGTTTGCAAACTGTAGAAACGTCAGAACGTTTCAAGCTATGCCTTTTTAAAAAAAAAATTAAATATTCCCTTTCTTTTACCGTGTAGATGAAAAAGGTTGAAGCAGATCTAAGCAGATCAAAATCGCTCCGGGAAAAGCAATTCAAAGAATTCTCCTGGCAATTGGAAGAGCTCAAGCAAAGATATGAGCAACAGGTCAGTTGGTTTGCTCCTTCAGGTGGAGGGGTGGAGGAACATCTTTTCATGTAGATGTAGGTCAGATCCTGTGGCAGGCTTAATCCTGTTCTCACTGTGTGTTGCTGTTCTTTGTCTAAAGACAAAATTTATGGGTATGCAGAGTTTATGTGATGGGGGATGGAGAAGGAAGAGTCTACAGAGAAAATATTTTTGTTTCCTCTTTGCAATCCTTTGTACTTCTGACTCTTTCAAATTGTTTCCCAGGCTTACAGGTGGCAACACCTATTTTCATAATGGCCAGATTAAATGATTTAATGTGTTATCTGTTTTTCTTCTTGTCAAGAAACAGTGTTTTATTCTTTATTATCATTTTTAATACGGGGAGTGTTCATAGGAATGCTTGTTTTGGCCCATCGATAGTGATTTTCTTTATTGTAATGTAATTTCAGGGTTGGGAAATACTCAGGAAACATTTGGGTGGAGAAAAGAAACTTGAGTTCAGTAGTGTTGTGAAGTGTAAAGGGAGAAAACAGAAACAGAAGGAAATCATTGCATGATATAGCCTTGAGAACACTTGCTTAAGGTGGTACTTTGTCATGAAAGTAGTGGTGTCTGTTTGGTAACACCTGTTAAAGGACTGAAAAAGTTGGGGTTTTGGGGTTTTTTTAGCAACGATACAGTTAGGCCATGATCTTGAAGTTCTCTCTTCTCATGTTTTTTGCACGGGTATAAGTTTACATATCCACCAGGGAAATGTGGTTTCATTTCTGTGCTGGTAAGAGGATGAAATACTGCAGTTGGCTTGTGGTATGAGACCTGCTCTGGTCTGTCTGGAAGGGGCTTTTTCAACTAATTAAGGAGAGGAATCACTTTGGTATGTGTTGAGAGAGACCTTTGCCTGTGCTTGGGAGGAACAATAGTGCGTTTTGTACATGGCTCTCAACTTTGAATTGAAGGGAGTTTGTTGGTTTGGATCAAAGTAATTTTCCTTATCCTCACTTAGAATTGTCAACAATACTAATTGAGTTGTCACCTGACACAGGCTGAGAAGCTGTCCCATGTAATAGATACATCTCCACAGGCGTTTTGTTTTACTGGGTGATATTATTTATGATTCTTCTGTTTAAAGATTGAGGAATAGTCCAGGTTGCAGAGATACTGGGGGTTTTTGTTTCATGGGTTTCATCTTGCAGGTGACATCATTTGCCAAAAGATCAATACGAATTCTACCTGTTTGTTGTGATTAGTATCATCTCTGGAGTAAAGACTAGAAATCACAAATGCAGTCTCTACTATGTGATCATGGCAATAGATTTTCTTCAAATCATTTATGTGAGAGCCATTGTAATAACTGCTTGTGTTTAAGGTGAGGAGGTTTAATGTGTCAATTAAAGGATGTACTGAAGGGAAGACTATGGATTTATTGGGATTAGTTGGGCATCTGCCTTAGGGGAATTTTTTAATGGAGTCTTAAGTTCATGTCATTTTAGCAGTATATGGTTGGTTCAATTTTTTTCTTTGCAGTTCTTGTAATTTCTGGTGCATCTTTAAAGTCCCAAGTAAGCATTTATTCATAGATTATTTTTTTTCCCCAGGTTAGGAATATGATCTGTAGAGATAAGTACTAGTCTGCAGTTCATGAGATGTTATGACAATCCTGTTCCTACCTACAAATAGTAATTTTTTAAATTTTCCGTATACATGGCAAGAGCTGCCAAGCCATAGATACAGTCTTCTGCCAAATAATCTGCTGGTTTTGCCCAGTAAAGGAAAATGAAAATGCCTAGTAGCGTCATGGTTTATTTTTCATTTGTTTTCTTGTATCATCATACATGTTATATTCAGACTTTCTGGAGACTGGATCAAAAAAACCCCAAAGAAAAAGAAATGAATGTGATACTTTTTGGTGAATCTTTTTACATTGGTATTTTTTAATAGTGTTAATATTTTGGTAAACGTTAGTGAAAGCATTTTCCACTAAGAGGAGATATTTACTGCTTCACTTTTATTTTATTTAGGCTCACTACTTTTTACTGTAAGAAGGAACAGCTAGACTTTATGAAACATCACTGAAACCCAAGGTAAATGGGTTTCAGCCCTAAACAGCTAAACAATGAGAACCTTAGAAGAATTTTCAGAGGAATCCTGTTTATGCCCTTTTTAAAAATTTATTTCTCGTCATACTTCATTTGGAATGTTCTTTGAAAGCTTGTGAACATGAAAAATATGTGACCCTTCCTGCAGACTGGGTTATCATTGGAAACGTTGTTCTTTTTGTCTTGTCTTTTCTGCAGTACAAAGCTCCTTCAGCCCAGCCACGGAGCGGTGTGAGCTCAGTTCTTCCACTCTTAAAATTTCCTTTCAGTAGTTCCAACTTCTGTTTCTCTGTATGACTCTCTGTTTATGCTTCAGAACTTCTAAACCATTTTTAAAACAGACTTTTCCTTGCCTTGTTTTACTACATATTTCTTTGGTGGTTACTTGGGGAGGAATAGACTGATTTAAAGTGTTTAAATGGAGCAGTAAGTTAGAACTGGTGGTGTATTTCAGCAGGACTCCAGCAGACTTCCAGTCAGGAAATAGATACCCAACCGAAAACTGGATACTTTAGTTAATGAGAAATGGAGTAATTGCTTTGAGATGTTCTGCCTCAAGTGTCTGAATCTAATTGTCAAATGGAATTTATATGCAAAGGGAAAGAAAATTGACCTTCAGATATATTTTGCATAGGTTGGCCTGGTGGGTGGCAGAGGTAGTGCTGGCAGCACAGTTGATGTTTCACTTGCCCCTAAATTTCGTCAAGTTGTTAATGAAAAACCAAATGAACCGATGTGTTCCCCAGTTCTCTATCCTGAGGAACATCTTGGAAATGTAGGAACTTGAGAGCTGTGGTTTTACTTCTCTGCTTGACGTGAATGGTTGTCTGTGCTTCACAGAACTCTCCTTGAATTTTGATTTCAATGAGATGACTGGTGTGAACGTGGACTGTTGGTTGTGGGGCTGACAGATCGCTCTACCTACAGATTAGATGTACTGATATATATTGATATTTATATTAATATATAACATGATATATACTGATATATGTGTATATTTATTTAATTTCCTTGAAAAAGAATTAAGAAAAAACCATACAGAACCATAGCAGTTAATATTTTGTTAACTTTTCAAATGCATTTGAATCCATCAATAAAGCGAAGAAGAAAGTTTGAATCTTGCAATATTTGGTTTCAGCTGCCGTGTCACTCCTGGTTCCAGCTTCATCTGATTCAGTGCCACTTTCTTTTGAAGTATTCACTGAGAACACTCTTAGAGAGAAACTGGTGGCTTTTTTTTTTTCTTTAAACATACTTTAGCTCAACTTTGTTCTACTTGCAGCTGTTAGATTTGAAAGTATATTTTGAAGAAAAAAAATAACTCCAGCAGCACGACAGTTCCTATCTGCTGGGAGCAGCTGCTTTTGGCACTTCAAAGCCGGTGGACACCACAGCGAAGGCCTCAGCCTTTCCTGCCTTTGAAATGGTTGCAGTATCTATAGTCGGGCTTTATGGCACCGTCAGCACAGGAAAAAAGGTTGTTTGGTTTTTTACACCCCCTCCCTTTTTTCTTCCCCCCCCACTTTCTAATTACATCCTCAGTTTAGCTCAAAATACCTGGGAAGTGTTGCTGCTGCAATCATTTTCCACAAGCCCAAATGTTTGAAAGATCATGTGCCCAAATTTTTCAGTAATGCATTTTAAACAGCCAAATTCATCAGAAAAGTTAAGGAGTTTGGGGTTTTTTTTCCCATATCCACATCAGGTGGGCACTTTCTGAGAGCACGTCTCTTGGGGTGAGCTGTGGTGCCACAGCAAAGTGCTCGTGGTGGAGCAGGGCTTCACACAGGAACCTTTCACAGAAGCATCAAGTATGTACTCACCTTCGTTTCAAGCAGATTTTCATAAATTTTCATGAGTGGAACACTTTCAGTGAACTTTTGGAGATCTTAATGTTTAAATGTCATTAGCTTGTCCATTTTTATTTTTTTTAAAAAAAAGAAATACAATAATAGATCACTATGATCACTGATAGTGATAATTATTCATGCTTCCATAGCAAAGTGGAAAGCTATTATGTTATAGCTGAAGAATCTCCCCGTTATCTCAGGAAATCCTTTCTTGCGACATTTATTGTTGGGTTCTGACTTCTGTAAAACTTGTGAAGGAATAATTAGAGTTGTCATCTTGTCCCATTTAGCCAAATAGGAAAGAAACAGGACACGTTCAGAAATATTTTACTGGGTATTTAACAAAATCACTTTGAAATCATGTTAAAGATGAGGGAATTAGTCTATACTTTTAAGTTGGGAGCAAGACAAAGGTGTGGTTGAGCTTAAATATGCCTTTTATATTTAAGAAAGAGAGGTAAAGTAGTGCAGAATCAGCTCATTAAAAGTGAGAAAAGCACGTCTGTAATCTTACCTGCCACCAGCAAGGACAAAGTAGGGCTGGGAAATTGTTCTTATATTAACAGTGTGCTGGAACAGAGGAAAGTACTATTAAGAGGAGAGGAAGACTATTCTTTAGATCTTTCTGTATGCCTTTTCTTTTATAACTTTATAATGAGGTTAATTTTTTAAAAAAGGGTGAAGTTATCTCAGGTAAAATATAACTTTTGTTATCACAACCATTGTTTTTATACATAAGTGTATGTATTTAAAACCAAACATCTTATTCAGAGCTAGTAGCACCATTTAATATGAAGGTTCCAAGCACAATTTCATGCTCAGTTCCTTATAAAAATATTCTAAAGTGTTATTTAGATTAACATTTAACGGTTGGGAATCTCTCCTGCTAACTTTTAGCTGTTTAACTTTGTATGTTATTTCACCAGTGTTTGGATGATCGAGGCTGTGATGATGTGGTTTTGCTTTTGCTTAAAATTGTAGTGGTAATACTTGGACATGCTGGAGGTAGGGTATTTTTGACCTGGGTGTGTTTCTATCTGAAGGTAGGGTATTTTTTACTTGAGTGTGTTTTTATATTCTGAGGGGAGACCTTGTTGCTCTCTACAACTACCTGAAAGGAGGTTGTAGCGAGGTTGATGTTGGTCTCTTCTCCTAAATAACAAGTGACAGGACAAGAGGGAATGGCCTTAAGTTGCACCAGGGGAGGTTTAGGTTGGATATTAGGAAAAAATTCTTCACTGAAAGGGTTGTCAAGTATTGGAACAGGCTGCCTAGAGAAGTGGTGGAGTCACCATTCCTGGAGGTATTTAAAGGACATATAGATGTGGTACTTGGGGACATGCTTTAGTGGTGAACTTGGCAACGCTAAGTTTACGGTTGGACTAGAGGATTGTAATGGTCTTTTCCAACCAAACTAATCTACGATTCTTCTCCCTTGAAGATCTACTCAAGTGTATTTAGGTAACAAATATTGTTTAATTCAGATATTCAAGAGTTCATCAGCTAAATGTTCTGATGAGTCTCACTGAGAATTTCCATGTCCTCTCTGGGAAACAGAGCCAGAACAATTTGTGTATGAAAAAGTGGTGTAAAGGCTGTGACCTCCTGAGAGAGAAGAGAAAATCAATGTAGGTAAGGAATAGAGTAAAAAGTAGGGGTTAAGCATTAAACCAAGAAAGTGCTCTGACTTGGGGATGGGACTTGGAAAGGAAGCTTCTCCGGGAAAATAAATTCTGTCCATCAAAAGAATTTGTGATTGGCTGTGAAAAGTCAGTGCGATGGAACCTGGAGAGAGTTAGACTGAGAATGACATTTAGTCCCGTGGATCAGGAGCACTGGAGAAACAAGTCCTGCAGAAGGGGTCAGTTGGAGGGTTGGTGTAGGCTGAAGGGTCCGTTGAGCATGAGCTGACTCTTCAGGAGGCAACGTTCCTTATTACCTCCTGCTTTAACAGTGACCTCTCTGCCTTTCTAAGGTGGGAAGTGGGGAGGATGGAATGCTTCTACATTGGACATGCTGATTTTACAGTCCTGTTGTGTTATTTGGCATATTATTTGCAGCTCAATTCATCTTCCAGCTGGTGATCTTGTCTTCAGAACTGCTACAAACATCATCAGTCCTATCACAAGACACAGTCACCATATGTGCATCTTAAACTCTGACTCTAGTGTCATGCTCAAGCCTTCAGGGACATTCAGCCAGACACACTAGTAGAGATGACAAGCTTCACATTCAGCTTGCTTTGTCCCTGTACCTTTACTCAGTTCCTGCCACTGCACTCACATCCTAGCTTTTCTCTTCCTTTTCTGTTTCTTCTAGCTTTTTTTTGACCAATCTGTTACCCACTCAAATGAAGAAAATATTTGCAAAGATGTGCTTGAAAATACAATATTCCTCAGACAGATGAATGTTCCAGGCGTTTCTTAGCTGTACTTTAAATAGTGCAATTATCTTCAGAGATTCACGATCCATTTTTAGTATGCTGGTTTAGTTATAAGGATGGTCTTTGTAAAAAGCTTTGTTCCTCTCCTCTTTGTCTATAGTCTAAGATAATTGAAATACACTCTGTTCTTGTGTGGAGGCCAAATGAGCACGTTAGCAGAGGCTCTAAATTTTTCATGTCATCAGCAACAAGCTGCATAAATTTCATTTAATAAATTAATCTAGGATGCATAAATGTTTCCTTTGAACCATCCTAACACACAGATGAATGCCATTTGCACAGAATATCTGAGGAATACTTTCTTCAATCATCAACTTCAACTTTTCACTTTATGATACAGCTAAAACTCACAAATGGGAAAAGAATATGAATTTAACCTCCAAGTAAAGAGTGGGTGGAAATCTCACTGTACCATTGCTGTTTACAGAATTGTTAACCAGACAGATGGGTATTTACACTGTCTCCTTCGAGCATCTAACTTGTGTGTGATTCAGAGTTAAAAGACTGAGCTCCCTGTATAGTCAACAGAGTCAACTTTGGGGGGAGGAGGGAGAGGGGAGGCGATTCCAGGAACATAAATTGATGCCTGCAGTAAACAGCAAGTCAGGCTGTGAATGCCTGTGAAGTCGGTTCTTGGTGTTTAAAGAAGGTCCTTAGATAAACTCTCAATCCCTAAACAAAGACTATGTACAGTAAATTCTGTACCAGAGCCTGCTACAAACAGGCATTTGCAGTGACTCAAAATTAGTGAAGGGCTTAGAGGAGAAGCCGTGTGAGGAGAGGCTGAAGTCACTTGGTTTGTTCAGCCTGGAGAAGAGGAGACTGAGAGGAGATCTCATGGGGGTCTAGAACTTCCTCCCAAGGGGAAGAGGAGGGACAAGTGCTGATCTCTTCTCTCTGGCCACCAACAAATGCCAGGAGCAGAGGGAATGGCAGGAAGATGTGGCAGAGGAAGGGGAGGTTGGCCATGAGGCAGAGGGGGGGGGGGGACTGGAAAAGGATCCCCAGGGAGGTGCTCATGGTACCAAGCCTGACAAGATTCCAGCAGCATTTGGCCAAGGCCCTCAGGGACATGGTGTGAATGTTGGGCTTGTCCTGTGCAGGGACAGGAGGTGGACTCCATCATCCTTGTGGGTCCCTTCCAACTCACGACATTCAATGATTCTATGATATTTGAAATAAATATTTCTGTTGGTAGTCTGTGTTGGCTTTATTGGCACAAGTGGGCTGAGGAGGGGAGTGGGACCTCCTGACATTCATCATGGTGCTAAGTGTGAAGTAATCACAGGGATGCAACTTAATTTCCAGTATGTTGGTGATTTAAAACCAGATTTACTCGTGGCAGGAGGACTGGGAAGACAAGAGGATTGAGGGGACCTTTGTGCTGCCCATACTTTAAAAATATTAAAAATCTGGAAGGACTTTGTAGGTAAAAATTTACAGCGAATATATCATTTTATAGACATGGTGAGACCACTCAGGTATAATGTTGTAGCAGGGGCATAAGTCAAACTGCAGTTTAGCTAATAGACCAGCTTGTCTCTTTTAGAGAATTTCCTGCAATTCTTAGTTTGCAGTCGAAATACAGTTATTAGTGCTTGATTATAAGGTGAAGTATAACAGGAAACACAGTCATGCCAATTAAATTATTGCAACTTGCAATGAAATAGAAAGTAAAATGCATTCGTTATGGATGTACATTACCCTATATATATTTGCTACTTCAGTGGTAATATATGGTTCTTCACTGATGTATTTTGCACTGTCCTGTTTACCCTTGGCTCATTACAGCCCTTTTATCTTGGGAGTACTTTGTGTTCCAAATTATAGCAAAATCTCAAAAAAAAAAAAAAAGTGTACTTTAAAAATCCATTTAATTTATCTGCTGTACAGTAGTTCTGGTACGCTCCTTTGCCTTGCAGTGAAGATTCCTCTTTTCTGCCCAAAGTTATGCTAAGCCAGAGCCCAGCATGATTAATACTCGATCCTCCAGCCTGTTATATCAGATTACTTTTAGAAGCAGTGTAT